ATCCAAGTGTCACTTGCTCTACTTGGCTTTCTCTGTATCTAATCTTGATAAAGCAGTATTATTTATCCCATTAAGCACCTGCTGTTCAAAACTGTACTTATCTATGTGCCTGATTTCCCCCATGGGACTCTGAGCAGCTCGATGGCCTGGCTTACAGTGAGAGTTCAGTAAGTGTGCAGTGCACACTGGACGCAGGGCGTCCATCAGTCCTTTTAGTAGGAGAGAACAGAAAAAAACCACATGATTCACTGACTTCTTCCAAACTAAGAAGAACAAAACCCTGGGGCTCTTTTTCCTCCGTTTCTGTTTCTTTCTGATATGAATGAGCAAACATTTCAGAGGAGGGTAGGGAAAGGAAAGGACAAGTCAGACCATGCGGCCAGGCTGCCAGGTCCAGGCCCTCATCCCGACCCTAGAATCTGGGGAAGAAGGAAGAGCCCCTGCCCCAGCAGGCCTGTGTTCAAATGCTGAGCACAGGCCAGGCCAGATGACCTCCCAATTCCACGACTTCCTGACTCGGGAAAACTGATATGGCTACGCAGCCAGTCAGGCCCTGCCCTTACCAACTGGAGGCTCCAGTGCACACAGCGGGCATTCAGCAAATAGTTGTGGCGTGAGTGAATGGACTCAATCGGGGCCTCGACACCCTAGCAAGCCACAGAAGGCCGAGGACCATGGAGCCTGCCGTCAAGTTCAGCCAAGGGCAGCCGGGCACACAGGGTAGGAAGAGGGCGGCCGCTGTTTGCTGTACTCTTGCAGGCAGGCAGGCTGGGATGCAGGCCCAGGGCTCTCTCCTAAACGTGGAGAGACTACTTATGCCGTTCAACTGGGGCTGCCACTCCTTCACCCCCTCTTCTCCACCCTCTCTTGACTGACACCAACCCTGGCTCTGACATGATTTAAAAATAGATATTAAGACAAGGAAGTTTAATTTTTAATGCTTTGGAAAGGAAGTGAACACATAGCTGCCATCCTCTTGCGACCACATTCCAGGAGTCTCTCGGGGTATCTACGCGGCCTTTATCTTGTCCCCCTGCCTCCAAGTAGAGCCAGGTCCAAACCACCCAGATTTGTCTGTAGCATCCCTGTGGGGAGCCAGCCTGTGTCACTCACCCTGAACTTTCTGAGAAGTCCCAAATGCTTCTTGTGCCTGGTCCAGCCTGTATCCCCTCTTCTTGGAGAGGCTATGTCTGAACCTGAGCTCCCAGCTGGGACCCCTCAACCTTATTCATCAAAAGAAGGCACCCCCACAGATACCCTATGGTGTTCAAGCTATCCAACACTGACTGCAAGGCCAGGCCAGTTAAGGAACTTGTATCACCAAGGCGGCACCCAGAGGCAGGGACAACCCGAGGGGCCTGACCCCACTTACTCCAGTTAATGAGGGCCCCAGCCAGCTCCCTGCCTGTGGCTGCTCCATGCCAATGCTTCCTGTGTTTCAGAAGGCTCACTGAGCACCATCTCAGCTAACTGACCTTTATTAAGGGAGCAATCCACAAGGAACAGGCTTCCCATGGGGCCAGAATGTCACCACTCTGCCAACTATGATTTAAAGTGATGGGACAACCCTGCTGGCCAGCATGAAAAGTGATCATTATTCCAAGTGGCAATTATGGCAACAACCAGTCCCTGCTCCTCCATATCACACAGCAACTGGGCCAGGATCATGATCGGCTGTCCCGAGAAGAGGACATGGGCCCTCGCACTCAGAAGGCCCTTTGCAGGCAGCCCTATGTGCTCTCTCCCTTTTTTCACTGTCAATATCTCTGAGCCTCTGTCACCCTCCACAGAGGCTTAGTGTCAATTTATCTCCACTTCAACTGTTCCACCAGCCAGCTCTGGGAGGACCCAGAGATGGGGTGAATGAGGGGAATGCCTCAAATGGCTTCTTCTGCTGGGAGAAATACCTCGGGGTTGATTCCATTAGTGGTAGACAGAATGGGGAACATTCTGTCCCAGTCCAGGACTAAGCCTGTCAGTCAAGAAGCCAGCATTCTCTCTGGCCCTAAGAATCAAGGTGGGGGATTCAGGGGACAAAGAGAAAGGTTCCCTAAATCAGAGTGACCACCAACTCCAAATGTATCAGGCCCTCAGAAACGCGGCCCTCCTAGGTGCCCCAAGCTCCCATAGTGCACCGGGTTGCCAATGTGGCTAACAGTATCTGGCTGCAGTCGACATTCCAGAAGTAGACCTGGACCACCATCAGCAGGCAGGCACCCAGCAGCCTGGGAGGCACCTGCCCTTTTCTTAGTAAGGAGGAATGCTGGCTACACAGCTCCACCTCCCTTCCTGCCTGCCGGTGATGTCACCCATGCTCTCACCAATACCAACACCCTCGAAGCTCCACCCAGTGGCCAGGAAGCAGGTACTCTCGCAGAACTGTGGGGGGCTAGAGTCTGATGCTTCTCTCCCCCAGCTTAGGGACCTTCTGGAAGGGATTGTAAGAGGCGGGGGTGTGGCAGCAGTGAGAGGTTTGGAGAACTACTAGGTAGGCTCTGGATCCATGAAAAGAGTTCTGTCTATTGATTGAGGTCTTGAGTCCAACTCTAATGCTTCTGAAAAGTCTCTCTTTGGGATCTGAGCCATGGAACTAAAACAAGTGATGGCTACATAATTTCTAACAATTGCTCCTGGGTTTGTCCCACTCTTGGCCCTACCCTCTCCCCCTCACCATCACCTGAGCCTTTCCCTTACCCTCCCAGCCCACACTACCCACCGTGAAAGTATGCCCAGGGCAAAGCAGAGGTCTCCCAAGGGTCTTGCTGCAGTCACACCTCCACAGCCTTTCCCCTCTCGTTCAGTCCTTCACAGCAGGCCAAGGAGAACCTGCACACTGGAAGTCTTCAGCTGAGAGAAACACAGCGACCCACCATCCCCAAATAGCTCCCTACAAACACTGGCTAATACTCACACACACAAGCGTCCATTTCTCATCTGCTAAATCTCCCATCTTTCCCAAGGTCTATGTCTTATTTTATTATCCCATATGCTACCCACATAAAAGAAATGGGTCTCAGTTTTTCCTGGCTCACAGCTTGCCATGGGGATTCCGAAAATATTAAGTAATCAAAAAGTCAGGGACCAGGAAGGAGCAACTCCTTGTCTTGTAAGAAAGTGTTGTTGGTACTAGTTAGGACAATAGAGACCACAAAGAAAGGACTTTCATCAAGCTAGGTCATTAAGTGCTGCCAAGCTCCTAGAAAGAGTCACTTGTCACACCCCAGCTAAGGTCTGAGAGAACCTTTCTATAAGCAAGTTTGATATATAACTTCTGGTCCCCACCAAATGAGACTTGTGAACCCCTACCACACAATGATATGTTGTGATTCAGTTCTGGCCATCCATTCACTCACCTGAAAACATATCATTAGCATCTGCTCTGTGCAGGGCTCAGACACTGTGTCAAGAGATCCCCAAACTAAGTTAAAAACTCTCTTGAAGGCACAAGCAGTTATACCATCTGTAGCCAGCAGGTGGCAGGGTGAGGGTGGGGAGGAGCAAGTGCCACTGAGTGGGCGCTACCCACCAAAGGTAGTGAGCATCCCTGAAGAGTCTTAATAAGGTTTCATAGGGCCAGGAATTTAACTCAGTGGTCCCATGGCCTGCCTCGCAAGTGCAAGAGCCCAAGTTCGATCTCTGGCACACACACACAGACCAAAAAAAAAAAAAAAAAA